TTTTAAAAAATATAATAAAATTTCAAAAACATAATAAATTTTTAAGGTATTAGCCAATTAGAAGTTAGTATTCTATCTCAAATTTAGCCACTTTAATAAAAGTTGTTGGTTTAAGGATGCCCACACTATATAGCTTTACAGGTCTGAAAGATATAATAATAATTTTACTTTTTTGATTTATTATATAGTTTCAAAAGTGTTATTAAAGATCTCTAGTATTAGTAAGAATAATTTTATTTTATTTATTTTATATAAATTTAAGTTCTTATTATTAGACTATATTATATATTATAATACTAGAACACTTGCAAAAATGATTAATATATTATATTGATAGTTTTCAAATGATGATTTATTTTGTGCTATTTATAAAGGATATTAATAGACTTGGAATTTTGCAAAAGTTTTTTCAATAGTTAATCAAAATAATGGATTTTTAACTTGTTAGAGGGCTTCCAGAAATTAACTAATTTATTTTTATTAATAGATTGCCTGAGACCAGACCACCCACCCACATCTAACATCCCATTAGCCAACCAAATTTTATATTTATTTTAAATTTTATATAATAATATATATATAAACTTTAATAATAAATAATTTTTAGACCTGTGGGTCGATAGCATAGCGGTTATGCTCCCAGGTTGCAAATCGGACAGTTGCCGGTTCAATTTCTCCCAATGGTGGATTAATGAAAATTTGAAAACAGAAGTGAAACGCCGCAGGGTATAGGGAACCCGAGATATCTACAGATTGACGTATTCAGAGAATAGTTATTCTGAGAAGTTGTAGCTGTGAAACGAGGCGTGTTAGAACCCCGATTTGGAATAACTGAAGTCATGAAACGTAATGCGAGGCCAAAGTTTAATAAAGATACTACAAGAACTCGTGGCGACACCGAATTGGCTAGTGAAATCCCAGTACAATAGAAAGGTGATCCGACATCTCCGGATGTTGGTGCAGGTGGTCAAATCTGGGTATTCAAAGTGGTACCAGAGGTCCGGACCGAACCCCGTGCAGGAAAAATGTATGCAGTAAACAGCCTTCGGGTTGGGTATATAACTGAAGAGGTTATAGGGTCTTGGCAAGACTTGCCGAAGAAAAAAAAATAAAATAAAATAAATAAATAAATAAATAATTTTGTTTTACTAGTCCAATTTTGATAATTTAACTACTAAAATGATTCTCACAGAGTAGAAATACTGACAAGCCCAAAATTATTAAAATCCAATCACAGGATCTAGAGATCAGAATAGATTTGTATATTATTATATATACTATACTATATATTACTATATAATAGTATATATAATTATAACTCTTTTTAACGATTATCTGTACCAAAAATCTAAACACATTTTTTGTAAAAAACACAATAGTGTTTAGTAAAAATGGAGCTATAAGTCGGCAGTTGTTATTTAGAGGTAGTTCTTATATGCTACCTGCTAACTTCTTCAGAGTTTATTACTCACCGCTTGCATGGCACTTGTCGTTTAGAAGTAGTTTTCATATGCTACTTGCCGACAAGCCCAGAGTTTATAACTTACCAAAAAGAGAGTATAGGTGTCTCACTTCTTTCTTAGAAAAAAGTTTAGGTGTTGTTGAGTCTTTGCATAGATATAACTACTTTTTTTGAATACAAGTGGTTTCTCACTAGGTGTTTTTCACTCAGCCAGTCTTCTCCAAAATTTTCAACAAAAAGTGGGCAATTTGGCTTACCCCTTCCAAAAAATCGGCATTGTTTATTTCTCAAATTTGGATATACCCAGGAATGCAACTACATGCCTTGTTTATCAGTGGATACAATATGCAATATAATCTATAGATACGGGATTTCCATGTGACTGGGATCAGATCTCTGGCATAAGAGGCATCTGGAGGTGGCCGGTAGTCAGATAATAATTTGTTAGATTTTATAATCAAGATATACAAACGTTGCAGTTGTTATAAAATTTTTTCTTAAACCTAGTATAGGTTATAGTAGTATATTTTTCTTTCGTTTCATTTGTACTATTTCTTGATAAAGGTAGTTTTTTATTTGTTGACTCTTAGCTTTTTTCTTTATTTTTATTTTTTTATATTTTATTATACCCCTTTTTATTTTTTCTTTAAAATTCTCTCTTCATTCTATTTGTTTTTTTTAGTTAGTTTTATGTTTTGTCTTCTTGGTATTATCGGTGGTTTTGAATTAGATATAAGATCATCACTTTTTTTTGCTCTCAGTAAAGAAAGAGAAAAAGCTTTGATAAGCTGACAAAGTTTATCTAACTTGTATACAGGTTGGTGTGACAAGTCACATATAGGCACATTTATCGCAGCTGGGTAATGTTAGGCTCATAATCGCAAGACTCACTGTTATGGTTATGAATGATAATATATTGTTTAAGAGAGTTCAACTCTTATCTAAATATAGTCTTAATAAATTGAGCACTGGCAAAACTATCAAAGAATTTAAAAAAAAAAAAAAATAGTATATATAATAATATACAAATCTATTCCAATTTCTGGATTCTGTGATTAGATTTTGATGATTTTAGGCTTTTTAGAATCTCCACTCTGTGGGGATTATTTTAGTAGTTAAATTATTAAAATTGGATCAGTATAACAAAGGTTATTTATTATTGAAGTTTAATATCAAATTTATAATTAAGAAAATTACAAATAAGAGTTCAAAACTGAAAATAATTACAAATAAGGGTCCAAAATGAAAATAATTACAAATAGAGGTCCTATTTTTGAAAATTATTACAAATAAGGACCCAAAAAAATTTTGCACTCAAATAGCTATAATCAAGCCCCATCGATCAATGACTCGAATATGACACATAATATGGTCATTAATTATCAACCGCATAAGAAATGTAATAATAATAAATTAATAATTTAAATATAAATTCAAATGCGTAATAAAAAATGCTAAACATATCTTTAAAAAACTTGCTTAAAACAATTACTATGTTAGATACATTACAAATTGACAATACTTTTACTAGTATGAAAAATATTTGCTCAGCCTTGATCAGTTACTCTGTCAAATTCTCTTCACTTTATAAGTTTAGAAATAACAAACTAAACAAGCTATTTGCTGTTTGTTTTATGAATGAAAATAGTTTATACCCTTTTACTGTTTCAGCTAACAAGCACAAAGAGGTTTTATTCATAACTCATGATCCAACTTGTCAAACTTTATGGAATTATTGACCAGTTGATGCAGAACTATGTGTTCTTGATAATGAAATTTTGCCGCCACCTACAATTAAAGCAGGATGGCTATGAAAAACTCAGTTGCATAGTCATGGAAAAATGGCACCAGAAAATCAGATTGCTTGCAGAAAATGTAATAAAAAAGTCATAATTCGTGTATATGCAGTCGAATACTTAGAAATAGAAAATAGTATGTGTATTTTATTTAATATTAAATAGTTTCTATAACACATAATTAGGCTTACGTAGTAACATTCAAAATTGCAATTTATTTATTTTTTAATGAATTCGATATAACGAAATACTAAAACGTTTAATCAATCATGACGCTATTATGTTTAAACCAGCTTTCTAACAATATATTTGGGCCGGTCCCTTATTTGTAATAATTTTCAAAAATCGGGCCTCTATTTGATTATTTTCAATTTTGGGCCCTTATTTGTAATTTTCTCAAATTTATTCACCTGATCTGCATGATATCTCGATCGACTGATAATAAATCTATCTTCGCATATTTTGTATATCGAAAGAGTTTTTAATTGATTTGATTGGTCAACAATCACGTTTAGATCTAACTCATGATTTTCTGAGTTTCTGCTATGCATCAAAAGGTTTTCTACAATGCTATACATTTCCTAGTATAGTAATCAAAACGTGGTATGCTTGATTATCGATAAAAGAAATCGCAAAGCAACTAATTTATTAAGTAAATAAATGACACAGATTATCATGAAATCAGTTCACCGAGGCCTTGATTTGAAAATATAAGCCCTACCTATACTCCTTTATTGATAATTCAGAATATTATAGATTTACTTAAAACCCATCCATCCAAGAATTTATGATAGTGCATGATGACTTGAAAGAGATTTTAATTGTGGAAAATATTCGGATTGCAAACGCTTTAACACTTCAAAGGCTTGTGTCAATCATGTGATCCTTGGAAAGTATGTATTGTGGTTGTGATGTTTTCTAACAACCAATTATTTCATTCACACATAGAGATTAAAGTACAATAGTATTGAAGCGAAGAAGCCGCAATTAAAATCAGAAGTAAAAACCGAAAAGGTATATACATGTAGTAACTAATTGGCAGTGTGGTGTGTAGAAATTAAGTTCTTGTGCAAGTCACGTCCAAGTTAGCGTAGGTGCGCCACTTACTCGAGTAATAACTATCTAGTTGTTCAAAGAAGTAGGTTCGCTAGCATTGGTCTTTGCTAGACTTGATGGCTTAACGAGGGTAAATCCAAGCTACTGCCAACTTTTTATAGTTCATTATTTGTATGTGTTGTAGTTGTGACATTTTCTAACAGCCAATTATTTCATTCACATATGAGGCAAAGAAATTGCGATTAGTATTAGAAGTAAAGCCAGAAAAGGTACATAAATGTTGTAAATAATTGGCAGTGTGGTGTGTAAAAATTAAGTTCTTGCGCAAATCACGTCCAAGTCAGCGTGGGTGCGCCACTTACTCGAGTAATGACTATCTGGTTGTTCAAAGAAGTAGGTTCACTAGCATTAATCTCTGCTAGACTCGATGGCTTAATGAGGGTAAATCCAAGCTACTTATTTCGTATACTACCTGCCACTTTTTATAGTTCATTATTTGCATGTGTTGTGGTTGTGATATTTTCTAACAACCAATTATTTTATTCACATATGAGGCGAAGAAATTGCAGAAGTAAAACCTGAAAAGGTACATACATGTTGTAAATAATTGGCAGTGTAGTGTGTGGAAATTAAGTTCTCGCGCAAGTCACGTCCAAGTCGGCGTGGGTGCGCCACTTACTCAAGTAATGACTATCTGGTTGTTCAAAGAAGTAGATTCGCTAGCATTGGTCTCTGCTAGACTCGATGGCTTAACGAGGGTAAATCCAAGCTACTTATTTCATATACCACATGCCAACTTTTTATAGTTCATTATTTGTATGTGTTGTGGTTGTGATTTTTTCTAACAACCAATTATTTCATTAACACATAGGACTTAAAGTACAATAGTACTGAGGCGAAGAAATTGCGATTAGAAAACCGAAAAAGTATATGCTAGAATTGCAGGTGAAACTAATCTTCAATGGTGCACTAGGAGAAACTGGTGCACCGATAATGAAACTAGATTTATAGATAAAACTACTCTTCAATGATGTACCAATGGTGCACCAGTTTTTTGGTGAAATTAATTAGTTTCACCTGCAACTCTAATACATGCATGTGGTAACTAATTGGCAGTGTGGTGTGGAAATTAAGTTCTCGTGCAAGTCACATCCAAGTCAGCATGGTGCACCACTTATTCGAGTAATGACTATCCAGTTTTTCAAAGAAGAGGTTCACTAGAAGTAACTTTCGGGAATTGAGCAACAACCATGCTTGAGCTATTTCATTTTATGATTACTATTAAAACTTTTATAAAAATTTATAATATTTTAAACCTATAGTATTTGTTATTTTTTATTTGATATTTTAAACCTACAGTATTTGTTTATTATAAATTTTATTTCTATACCTCAAAAATGTACTAAGTAATTAGCCCCCTAAATAAAATTTAACTAATCAAACCCTAAATTTTTAGCAAAAAACTACTGAAGTTCCTTTTTTTAATCATTGATATATATCTTATGATCATCATAGTATTTTTACCCACCTGGTGAGATTTAGTAAAATTCCCAAAAATTTGTATTGGGGAAGTAAAATTGGTTATCACCAAATTGAGTCCTAATTTTATACATCAGTTGTGGTTAGACATATAAAATACTGTCTTCAATTGGTAAACTAGATTACTCCGCCTTAGCGCAGTTACAACAAAACTATCGTTTAGTTTTTCTTCAAAAAAAAAAAAAATTCAAAATAATTATTAAGCGAAAGTTTATGTGCTTTCAAATTCTTTTTGCTACTACTGTAGGAAAAAAAAAAACGAAATAATCTAAGAAATATTATATTTATGACACCATGTTATATATAACACCCTATTATTTTGATAATGTAGGTAGCTATCCCACAAAAAATTTTCCAGGTTTGTTTTCTAAGTACAGAAGTAAAAATTGCATATAAAATTAAAGCCGCGTTATAGTTAGGGTTAGGGTGAGAACAGCATAGAGTATGGGTTTGGGTTGTTTTATTAGTAAAATTTCATGAGAAACATTTTTAATTAGGCCGTAGAAGGTTGTTTCATAATTAAAATTTAAAGCTATTTGTTTTTTTTGTAAAAAAGTGAGTTTGCTTCGATTTTTATGTTACACCTAATCCTGAAATTCATATTACAGGAGATGGAAAATTTTTTGTGGAATAACTAGGGCTTTTTGTTTAGATTATACTGCTGCAACTAAAGGCTAGGGTTAGGTTTAGGGTTAGTCTAGTGTAAAATTACAAGAGGAGCATTTTTTCTTAGCTACACAACAGGGTTACTTTAGTGAATTTTTGAAATAATTAAGATTTTTAAAAAATTCTATATAAAGTGTTATATAACATGGTATTATAGATATAATTATTCATAATCTAATATTAACAAAAATAAGTACTTCTGTTATAAAAAATTTTATAAATAGTATTTTATTTTCAGAAAAATAAAATTTTGCTAAGATTGTAGTGGTTTAGTCGTCACCCTCTCCAAGTGGCAGGTCTAGAGTTCAAATCCTACAGACGACGAATTTTAAAAAATAGCCTGTGTTACGGTTTACGGTTGTCGATTATCGGTTGGATCTAGAAATTTGTAATCTCAGTCATACCATCTAGTTATAGGAGCTTTGGCGCAATAAATCCTAGGAACCGGAATAACTGAAAACCCATTTGGCAAGTCCTGAGTTTGGAGGTAGTAGTGATCTATGACGGTATCACAGGAGGGCTGAATTCGAAC